TCTCTCTCTCTCTCTCTCTCTGAGCTCTCTCTCTCTCTCTCTCTCCCTCTCTCTCTTTCTATCCCCCAGAAAAGTGGAACCAAAACTACTCAATATTCGTTTTTGTTGTGTTTTTTAAAGTGTGTTTGTGTGGGTGTGTTTGTTTTTCTCTCATAAACCCAAAGACTTAAATGGAGCTTGTTGAAGTGACGGATTTAAATTAGTTAAAGGCAATCACTTTGATGAGTTACTAAATAAAGCAGCCCAAGCACCCTAATAAAATTCAAAGGAAAACAGAAAGGTTTGAGTGCATTGAGACCTGAGCAGAGTAAGCAACTAAGAATTTAAATCACATTTTTAGCTCAGATCAAACAGATCAAAGTAGTTTTTGTATAAATGCAGCAAAGTGATCAACATTAAAGTTTCGAAACCAACAGAAACAACATCGAGATAATAAACATCAATGGTTCAGTGCCTGTAAGTATAACAACAAATAATTTTTACTCACATTATGATTAAATGCAGAAGACAGTCAGTTTGACTTGGAAGTTAACTTCAGCACTTTTCTCTGTGAGCTGCCTGAAGCTGAGGTGCTGGCCTGAAGAGAGGACTTGGTTGCGTAACTCTTCATCAAAATGTTCACAATTCTCTTAATATCAGGCAGGCATACCGTATTCAAGTCCGAAAAAACTTTGGAAATAGGACAGCATCCAGGCTAGTCGTCTCCGGCAAAAAACGGTGTCTGAGTTCTTAAAAAAATAATATGACAAAAGCACAAAGTAAAGGCATTCCTCCGAAGGGCGTGTTAGACCGCCACGGTTGATGGCATCGAAGTATGTCTTCATCTCGTCGTCACAATCAGTAAGTGTTCCAGACAGTTCTGGGTGGTGGTGGGCTACATAGCCAGCAATGTAATAAATAGCCATAGTCTCATCTGGAGACATTTTGCTGGGGGAAAAATCCTCAGCCATACCATCAATAAGTTCGAGGTCTTTCAGGGGAAATGGCTTTTCACACAAACTACAAGAGTGGATAGTATTGGTCTCTTCACTTAAGTCAATTAGGGACAAAAGTAACCTTGCTCTGTCCAGGGCATGGATGCTAAAAACTTCCCTCACAGTTATATAATAATTGCACCCAGCGGAGCGCCTGAAATGGCCGAAGTGGTGTTCCAGGTCATCCTGTTGCCAATCGCCAAAGCAGACATACTGGTGACGGTAGGCCTCTGTTGTTGTGATGAGGTGCTGAGCTAAAGCAGAAAAGCCCCGACAGGTCCATGCCAAAGCATCGGCAGTGTCGGCAGTTAAAGATTTGGCCCTGACTCTGCCGCTTGCTCGCATTGTCTGGGCAATATTTGCCCACTCTTCTAAAAGTACTCTGGCCCTCTCACCATTTACCCCAGTGTCATACGGGATTCTGTCAGGGTCACGGAGATGGATATGTTGTGCTGGCGACTTGCAGTTCCACAGCTTCCACAACTTCAGAACAAGCGTAATGAAGCATGCAGTGTCCTTCCATCGATCCGTGCTTCCTGCCGATGTCACTAAAGCACTTCTCGTTTCATCGCAAAAAACTTTCAGTGCCAGTGATACCTTCTGTTTTTCTTGGTTGGAAGGCTGCACACACACTTTGTTCAACCTGGAGAGCTTGACCAGAGCACCTTCTTCTTGCTGGTACAACTCTTCAAGCGACGCCCATGTTGCTTCTTTCCTTTCACCGCTCTGAGAACCATGTGAGGGGAAACACAGAGTTTTCGTTTTGTCTGTGATCCAATTATTTCGAATGTTCTTCAGTAAATGAACAGGGTCAAAAAGAAGAAAAAGGGGCTTTGATGGATCGCTTAAAGAAGGAACCACCCAGGGTGTTGAAGCGGTAAATCCAGGAAACAATTTAAAATATGACTGATTTACCTTACTGTTGTCATTTATAATACCAAGAACAGTCGCACCTGATTTCTCCAATTATTGAATTAGCTCTGACACAATATTATATTGGAAACGCGAAGAGAGCGCATGACAGGGAACCATCTTTCCTATAAATTTCTTGCCAGTAAAGGGGCATTTCACCATTACACAAAGTAATGTATTGGCCAGCTTCCCTTCTGCATCAGCAGCGTATCCGAACAGCTCTCCACCGGAATAAACTAAAGATGCTTTGACGTACACCTCGTCGACAATTAAGAAGCAGGCCGAACTCCGTCTGTCTTGAGCACTGAAGAATTTGTGAAACAATACTTCATTTTCAACACTTTTTGCTGAACGTGTAACATTTCTCAGTGTTGACTCAGAAGGCAGCCTCAAAACGTTCCGCAAATCAGCATATAATGCTCGAGATCTACAACACCAAGAAAGGGCAAGGCACAAATCACTTTGTGAATATAATCTTGAATTCTTAGCAGTGTTTAACAGCTCGATTTGTCGTTCTAAAAACTTAACGTGTTGGTCTTTTTCTTCGCTGGTATCGGCTGAAATAAATCTCAATAATTCCTGAAGCTGGCTCCAAGTACTAAGAGTTCTGTTTTGCAAGAAAGGCACAGACACACACTTCAGGCCTTTATAGGCCTCAAAACTTGCTTTTGTTACAATTTTTTTCACTCTATGCAAAGTAAAAATAATAGAAAAATCAAATATGGGTCCATTTCTACCCTCACTCAGTAGCACCACCTCATCCTCTTTGACTGCTGTCTTTCCCTTTTCTTCCAGTCTGGATTTAAAACATGGCACAAAGTTAGACGACGAAGAAAATCTGTCGATGTGCTGAAAGTGCTCCAACTCATCTCTATCCGGGTTTCTTGCTTTGCTTAATGCATTTCCTGACCGTTCAGGCTGTTGCTTTGGTGGTAGCTGACATGTTCTAACGTTAGGAAAAATGGAAGGGGGAACTGCTGGGACCAAATGTCGGTTTCGTTTTTTCATCCTTACACCTTCAGGCCAGTGTCGGCCACATACACCCATGTATTTTGAGACATTATTTACAGTTTTCTCCTTGTTGGGAATAGCTTTGATCCAATCACAACATTCTTGGTAATCCTCAGGGAAACCGTACACAGGGATTTTTTCACAAGCATCCCTCTGTTTTCGCTCACTGTCAAAATTAGTGTCACAACCACCAACAGAACACTTTCGTGGCATCTTGATAAATGTTTAAACTACCAAAGAAAAAAAAAACAAATAGAAAAATATAATAGAATCGATATAAATTAGGATGATTTATGATTTTGGCTCTCAACTCTTAGGGACCCTTGGTTTTCTTCCTCTGTCTTCAGTTTGAGTGAACTTACAGGCAGTTTTACTGACTATATCTAGATCTAGATCTAGTTTAAAACACACAAGTAAGTAGTCACACAGGCACAGATCTAAAGTAGATCTCTATGCTGCTCTTGCTTTTTACTTTACTTTTACTTTTACTGACATCTCTAGAATCTAGAAATCTAGATCTAGATCTAGATCTAGATTCTAGATCTAGATTCTAGCCTACAATCCTTTAAAATAGGAACAAATCACCTCTTGATTTAAAATTATAATGCCAACAACTGTAGCCCCCACCCAAAATAAAATAGAAACATTGGATATCTAATCTACTAAATGGGAAAATTGTACAGTATAGTAAGGGTAACTAGATCTGTTGTTATCAACACCACTCGCGAGTTAAGTTGAGAAAAAGCCAGGATCACCAACCTCTCCTACTCCTACTTCCCAGAGTCTCTATTAGGCCTAGATCTAGGGGAAACAGAATCTATGAAGTTAACACAATACGTACCAGAACACA